TTCTAATATTACATTTATTGTGTTGATCCCCGAAAAATTGGAAGCAGTTGACGTTAAGGATTTTCGTCCTATTAGCTTAGTCAACGGGATATACAAGATTATTGTAAAGATTTTAGCAAATAGATTGAAGGAGGTGCTGGAAAAAGTAGTGACTAAGTGTTAGAATGATTTTGTAAAAGGAAGGCAGATTTTGGATTCTGTGCTTATAACGAATGAATGCATTGACTCTAGATTACGTTTGGGGTGCTAGGGATGTTATGCAAGCTCGATATTCAGAAGGCATATGATCACGTGAACTGGGGGTTCCTATATACATGCTCAGGAGATGCGGCTTTGGGGAAAAGTGGTATAAGTGGATTCAATTTTGTATCTCTACTGTTTTATTCTCAGTCTTGGTTAACGATAGCTCGGAGGGTTATTTATGAAGCAGCAGAGGTTTGAGGCAAGGGGATCCCCTTGTCTCCATTGTTATTTGTGATTGTTATGGAGGCATTCAGTAGGATGCTTGAGAAAGCTGTGGGAGAAGGTTTGATAATAGATTTTACGGTTGGACACATACAGGTTTCCCATTTGCTATTTGCAGACGATATACTGATTATATACGATGCAAATAATGAGCAATTCAGAAACTTGCACCGGCTATTTCTATGCTTTGAAGCAGTGTCAGGATTGAAGATTAATTTGGAGAAATCTGAGGCTATTCCAGTAGGAAAGGTTCCAAATGTGGATGAGTTGGTCTATATATTGGGTTGTAGGGTTACACAGTTGTCCATGTCTTACCTTGGGCTTCATTTAGGGGCAAAGTTTAAATGTAAACATATTTGGAGTAGAATTGTCGAAAGGATGGAGAAGAGGTTAGCGGGGTGGAAGCGTATGTACCTTTCGAAGGGAGGCCGCCTTACCCTCATAAAATCCACACTCTCTAATCTCCCAACTTATTTTTTGTCATTGTTTCCCATTCCTGTTACCGTGACAAACAGATTAGAGAAGATTCAAAAGGTGTTTCTTTGGGCAGGGTTAGGAAAAGAGAAGAAATTTCATCTGGTTAATTGGGGTGTGGTTTGTTCTCCTGTAAGAACGGGGGCTTTGGATTGAGGAGCCTCGTTCTATTTAATAAGGCTTTATTGGGCAAGTGGTTGTAGCGATTTGGAGTGGAAAGTGAAAGTTTTTGGAGAAAAATCATTGGAGCGAAGTATGGTGTGGTGGAAGGGGGTTGGTGCTCAATCGAGGGTCGTGGATCTTATAGGGTGAGTCTGTGGAAGTAAATCCAACGAGGATGGAATGAATTTCAAGATAAATTGACATATGTGGCGGGAAATGGCAACAGTATCAGATTTTGGGATGATTAGTAGTGTGGAGATCATCCGCTAAAGGCACGATTTCCCTCTCTGCACCACATTGCCTTGGAACCATTCGCTATGGTGAATGATGTAATAGCCATTCATAATGGAAGTTATAGCTCAAATATTGCTTTTGAGAGGGGACTCCGGGATTAGGAATTGGATGATTATACACTGTTTTTGACTTCCTTGCAGGAGGTGCATATTCAGGTAGGAGTGTGTGATTATAGCAAGTGGAGGTTGGAACGGGATGATATTTTTTCAGTTCGCTCTTATTTTAGATCCATATTCGACTCGGTGGAGAGTTCATTTCCCTAGAAGATGGTGTGGCAACGTAAATTGCCTCCACGAGTTGCTCTCTTATTATGGACGGTTGTGAGGGGCAGGCGTTAACGATGGACAATCTTCGAAGAAAAAGTTTTTGTGTTACTAAGTGGTGTTATATGTGTAAAAGAGATGGGGAAACCATTGACCATTTGTTCATCCATTGTGATGGTGTTCGATGGCTGTAGAACGGTATTCTAACTTCCCAACATCTGGATTGGGTAATGTCTATGCGCATAAAAAACGTGTTGCGGGCATTGAAGAGAATTTCGAGATAAGGATAGGAGGCTTGTGAGGAGTCTTATTCCGGGATGCCTTGTATAGTGTGTGTGGAAAGAAAGGAACAGTCGTTGTTTTGAAGACCAAACAAGAACAATAGAGCAAATTAGAGAATTCTTTTATATGACTTTGTATACTTGGTTCAATGCTGCGCCACTAATTGTATAGAAGGGCTGCTTGACTTTATGTCTTTTATTTCTTGTTTATTTCGATAATACACCTCCCATGTATTATCCTAATGATTAATAAAATTATATGATTACTTATAAAAAAGAAGAAGATAAAACTGACCCACTAAAGCTGAGTCGCCAAAGCCCAAACAATTCGGCCAAAATTAGCTATTCCAGCCTCTAGCCCAAAAAACCAATCGACTGCACTCGACTCACCATCGGAAGGAGAGGACAAATGATGATGGAGGAGAAGACAATGAAGCCAGAAGGTCTCTCATGCACGACCTTCGTAACTGACCACCGCACGCACCTACAACTCGAGGCGCCGATAGTCACACCCGAGAGGACCAGAATGCCGAACCAGAAGAAGCCCAAGTCTGAATCACACGATGACCCGGAACAATTCGCGCAGCCTGTTGCAGTCCACCACTTCAAAAGAGTCTCTTGATCTTCAGCCACCAAGAAGTAGTCCCGGTAAGTACTACCACCAAGAACAGCCACCCAAATTTTTTTGAAAAAATTCACGAACCCTAATTTCGAGAACCTTGCTCTGATACCATGTTGATTTTAGAGAAGGTACTTATTCCATATATTAATTCATGAACGTGTGTTACATATATATACATAGAGTGGATGTTTCTCATAAGGAAACAATTCTATCAAAATAAGAAAAGTTCTAAATTTATGCACCTACCATATATACATGTGTTGTATATGTAAATAATAAATATAAACCTAAATTGATGCATAATTCCATAACAATTTTAAAAGGTCAACCTTATTAAAAAGATTAGTCCAAGCCTTATATATTTGTTAATATTTTGGTATTTAACCAATCTGGGATTTATATTTTAACATGACCTCGCAAGATGATGACTCATTTGAGAACAACAACCTTAGAATTTGTGCATTCATTTGAATCATAGTCAGATTGAATTGCTTGCTTAAAATTTGTAGGTTCTAATACCATTTGAGGTTAATCTTGTTAAGAGGTGTAGCCTAAATCATTATATGTCATATAAGGGCTTGATGGTACCATTCTTATAATTTAATCCGTAGTTACTTTGCAGAGGACCAGACATGACTAGTCCACATGGCATACTGGTTGACTTATTAGACTGTTTGGTTATTATAAGAATAGAAACCTACGGTCCAGCCGAGATGATACAGGTTCGTCCATTTTTTGTAGAAACTGCATCACGCGTTAATTTGATTCAAATCTCCAAGCATCTTATTCAACTTCTATTTCTTTATAAATGTTTGTTGTTGCATGGCCAGATGATATTAGCTATCCGAGCAAAGGTGGAGGAATTGAAGATAGACAAGGAATATTAGGCTCATTTTGGAGAGATTGGACAAGCAACCTCCTTGAGGTTTGATTATATTTGGCATATATTTTTTGGGAAAATTGCACCATTGACCCTTATCTATTGCCCAAGTAGCATGCTGGTCCCAAACCTTTAGAACTAGTTGATCCTCAACCTTTCAGTTATAGTTGCACAAGCAGTCCTTAACCACAAAAGCTGTTCAAATTTTGTTAAATAGTCACGTGGTGATAATGGAAACGCGTCCCACTTTGCACTAGCATAAGTTGGTAACGAAACCGAGCTTCATAAAGTTGGATGTGAGGGTCATGTGACGATATAACAATGATATGGATTGTTTCTGTCGTTGACTTGTTGGGACTCATTGTGCCACTGTAAAGAAAGTTGAGGATTGACTAACTACTTAGACAATAGTTTGAGACCATAAGTGCAATTTGTCCTTCTTCTTTTTTTGGCATCCGTCTTCTACATGACTATGATACTTTGAACTGAAATCCAATTCTCTTGTCATGCAGCCGAGCTGTTACCACATGCCAACATAGTTGCTCAAATGAATGGCCGTGACAATATTTGCAAGGTACCTTAATCCAATGTTATCAAGGATGTGGGCATAGGTGGTGTTTATAATGGAAGGATATACTTAGCTTGTACCATTTGCAGGTGGATCTCGAAGAAGTGACTTCTCTTTATCCGGATGCAAAGTCCTCGGGAAGGCTTCTTCAAGAGCAACAGGATAGATGTCTTGTGACAAATTAAACTGCATCACATCAATGAATTCATTGCTGACTTCTCTTTATCTAGATGCCAAGTCTTCGAGAAGGCTTCTTCAAGAGCAATAGGATAGATGTCTCGTGAAAAATTAAACTGCATCATATCAATGAATCCATTGTTGACGTGGTTCTCAGGTGTGTTTACCTATTACAAGAGTGTCACTTGAATGTTGTAGCAGCACTTTTGCTATAAGATCTGTATATTAGATCGGCTAAACGAGACACTCACAGGGTGGGGAATGTTTAGGTGAAATCCTTTTTATGGAATTGGATGATATGGTTTATTATTTTATTGAGAGTTAATAGAATGTTTTTGTATGAGATCAAGACATAGATTTAGAGAAATGCTATAATGCCAAGGGAAAATTTCATAGGGCTTTTACAGGCCCTTCACAAACAGGTGGGTCTTACCTCAATAAAAAAAATCCAAAAATCATGGGATTCATCTGTTTGTGAAGGGCCTGTAAGAGCTCTGCGAAATTTTTCCTGGCCAACAGTATTTCTCATAGATTTAATTATAATCTCCTTATAATTAAAAGAATATTAAGTCTAAAATACTTGTGGATAGCAATGAAAAAATAAATTGGTATTAACCTAATATTCACATTTGAGTTAAAAAAATTTGACATTTGGACCTCGCACGTGCGTAGCAGCCGAATGAGCTCAATGTCTTGAACGAAGGCCCGTGAGAGAAAACATTGTTGGGCCTTGGCAAAGCCCACCCGCTGATCAGACGACGTCGTAATCTTTTTCACATCCGACACCTGCAGAATACAATAGATTACACTACTTTCCCAATCATTTTAATCTAATTCACAACCAAATTTCTCCTCCTCCATCATTTTCTCATTTTGATAATCGAACTAATATCTTCTCAAAATCCCCCAATCCTTTTTATAGCAATGTCCTCGGATTCCGGTTCCGACAACGATGATCAAAACCCTAATTCGATCCTGAGCTCGAACTCGGGTTCAATTGATACTTCACTCGATGCAACAGAGAATCAGCTGGAATCAATCTCAATTACCTCTCAGACCGAGGCGAGATCATTTAATCAACGAGAAGAGCAATTAATGTTTACCAATGGATTATTAACTGAAGAAAGTGGGTCAAAAGTAGCTGATGAATTCAAGAAGGAGCTGAGTGACAGCAAATTGATGGAAGAATCGTCTTCTGGGGTGATTATGAACTCGTCGTCTGTCTGGAGATATAGTAGTTTAGAGGCGGAAGAAGTGGAGTCACCTTCTAGTCCGAGTAGCAGCGGCTATGCAGGCGAAAGAGGGAGTAGTAATGGTGCCACCAGTTTAGGTGATGAGGAGATTCACCATGATTCAATTTGTGAGGCTAGGAATGCTGGAATTTTGAGTTCTCAGGAGCAGTGGGTTCCCAGGGAACGTGACCTCAATGAGGTTAGCTTAATAAATATCTCGCTCTTCCTTCATATTTTGAATGCCATTTCAGTATTGGAAATTGCATGATGTGGATATGTTAGTTTTTTTTAGATTCTAAATGAAAAAAGAATAGCGTGTTTGTTGTGTATAGTAAAGAAAGAAAGCACAAAGAATCTTACTTTTCCTAATGTGTTTGCAATTCAATCAAAACAAATAAGTGGAGCGTCAAAATTGAAGGGATTGGTGGGCTGTCCGTGAGGTTAATAAATAAATGTAGATCAGCTTGTGAGCTTTTTATGTATCATTGACAAACTTATGTCTTTTCAATTTCATTTATTGATGCATAGAAGTTCGGATGAAAGTCTCTTGATCTTAAGTCCTTGTTAAACTCCCTGCAAAAGAAAATTGTTTATTCAAAAATTATGAATATTTACTGCAAATTAAAGTGGAAAATTGAAGAAAATGCAGTTTATTTTTCAAAGACTTTGCATAGTTGCTCCAAGTTAAAGGTATTAAATTAAGTGGTTAAAAATCTAACTTTGATTTGAATAATGAAAGCTGTTAAACCAAATAATCTTACCAACCTATTTGATGCATAAACATCTAATTTAGTACTACAAGAATTCTCTCTGATATGAAGATTTATATAAGTTTAGGAGGCCAATTGACATACCAGACGTGATATGCTTTATGGCAATGAGTGTTTGACTGCTAAAGTTCAAAATTATAAGACGAATTAAATGAATCCTAGAATAAAATGGATGAGATATGAAATGAGATTATAATTATGAATAAATTAGGAGACAGATAACATGGTGGTTGTTCATTAGAGCAGGGAGAGAGGTAGACCAAAACTACCGTGGCATGTTTTGGTTGCCAGAAGTTTTGCCAATGAACTGTATTAACTGTTGGAAAAGTATTTATGTAGCTCACTCCAAATCGATTGGGAATAAGCTGGGAAGTACCAACACGCTTCCAGCATCGGCATATCGGTCTCCAAATCGATTGGGAATAAGCTGGGAAGTACCAACACGCTTCCAGCATCGGCATATCGGTTGCCAGAAGTTTTGCCAATGAACTGTATTAACTGTTGGAAAAGTATTTATGTAGCTCACTCCAAATCGATTGGGAATAAGCTGGGAAGTACCAACACGCTTCCAGCATCGGCATATCGGTCTCCAAATCGATTGGGAATAAGCTGGGAAGTACCAACACGCTTCCAGCATCGGCATATCGGTTGCCAGAAGTTTTGCCAATGAACTGTATTAACTGTTGGAAAAGTATTTATGTAGCTCACTCCAAATCGATTGGGAATAAGCTGGGAAGTACCAACACGCTTCCAGCATCGGCATATCAGTGTCCTCCTTGTATCGGACACCGGTACATCTCCAACACGTCGCCGACGCGTGTTGGAGATGAAGAAGAACTGAAGGCGTGTCAGAAGAAGAACTGAAGATCAGTGGCAGGAAGAAGAAATAAAGACAGCACTGAGGAAGAAGACAGTAAAGTCTATTTTTTGGGGTAGAAATGAAGAGACGTTTTTGGCATTATTTCCAAACAAGTTTACTTTTTAATTCAAATGTATTGGGCCCAAAACATTAATGATTTCTCCTACTATCTATTTGATAGGTTTTTCTTCCAGTTTTACCCTTCAACAAAAATCTACCCATTGATTTTGTATGTTTGTAATTTCAGCTAAACCTTGAGGACAGAAATGGGATTTTCTGAAATGATCCCAAGTCACAATCATGTGGACTGCCATCTGTAATGTGTGCCATACTATTATATTAGCTAGTAGTACTAAAACGTTTGATTTCTATTTGTTATTTAATTATTTATATATGATGTAATAAGTATAAAAAAAAAATCATTATTTTGGACTATTAAATTAAAAAATATATATATTTTAATCAACGTGTCAGGGACGTATCGTGTCGAAACTTTTTCGAAAAATTGCGTGTCGATGCTTCTTCGGGAATAAGGCTTGGTTGTTCTTGGAAGGTTCTTGATTTATAGTTATATATAACCGATTCTGACATTAAGTGAAATTATTCTGACAATAAAGTGTGTTTTTAAATCATACAGTGAGGGGGCAAACAAAGATCTGAATTATTAATTATAGTTAACATTCAAGCATTGACAACTGACAGGGCTTGAGTTTATTTTTGAAATTGAAGCTCTCAATCTAGCTTTTGTATGTTAATCAAAATGTCGACTCAATTTCGAGCTGTTTGAATGAGGAATGGCTATTGTAGTTCCTTTCTTTGTGTGAGGCCTCTTGTTTTCCATGGGAAGGTTCTTGGTGTTTTATCTTGCTATTCCAGTTTCTTACTTATTCAAGTGATAATTAAAATTCATTTAGTGTACCCCTTTCGTATATTACCGACTGGATGAACATTGTCTCCTTTTTACCATTGAGCTGGAGTTCTCGCTTTGAGATTTGCCATTTCTTTCATGTGCTCGATTTTATTTTATTTTGCCATTTCTTCTTTGATGTCTGACTGTAAATATTATGATCACAGTTAAATATTATTCGGATAGAATTGTCTCTTTAATTCCTGCTTTGGAATATATATATTTTAATTAAATTAATAAATGCAGGATGATGCTTCAATTTCATGGAGGAAAAGGAAGAAACACTTTTTTATTTTGAGTCACTCTGGAAAGCCCATATATGCTAGGTCCGTATTACTGCTTTCTTGAAACTTCTGTATTACAACACAAAATTTTTTATCTTTTGCCCTGTACAGAAGGATGTGCATTGTTAATTGTTTGTTAAGTTCCTGAACTATTTCTGTACAATTATTTAAGGATGATTTTCTTTTGTTTGGTTTTGTAATTGGCTCAAAGATATGGAGATGAACACAAACTAGCAGGATTCTCTGCAACTTTGCAAGCCATCATTTCCTTCGTGGAAAATGGGTACATTGCTTGTGACCGCTAACTTGCTACTCGTTATTTAGCACAGTTCATTTTTCCTCATCAGCTTATTGACTGAGTAATTTTATTTTGTTTCTTTGATCTCTTTTAGGGGAGATCGGGTTAAAGTGGTAAGAGCTGGGAAACACCAAGTTAGTATATCACCTTCTCTTTGAACTTAAAATTTACTTGCAGATTTGCTTGTTCCTTGTATGGATTAGATTGAGAAGCAAAAACTTACGCCGACACTTTAATGATAGGAATATCATTAAATAGGATAATGCTGTAAGGTGCAGAATGCAAACTTATGCAGAACCTCTATCTTGTAATACCAGTGTGGTTGTGCAAGATACTGTTAGCCAGACCTGTTGACTTATCCTGTCTCAATATAAAAAGCCAGAAAAGAAAGGAAAGATCACTATCAAATTTCATTCCCAGCACTTAAAGATTTTGGGAAAGATTGCTGTAAATGATGGCATGACCTGCGGATCACATCTCTTCATGTGTGAATCCACAATATCATGTGGTTGATTTATTTTCCTGCTACTAGCAACTATCCCAATTTTTGGCTGTCGACCCAATTTATTGTTATGAGAACAGTCAGCTTGGTCTTTGGATGATGGAAATAATCATAAGCAGCACTTCATACCCAAAATTACATTGTTGGAACGTTGTACAGTTATTACAATTTGGTCGAGGAGAAGATGAACATTATGGACTGTGTGCTCATTCATAAATCTAGGATCAACTGGAATGTTGAGAATGCTCAATCTATGATATTAGAAGAAAATCTGGATACTATCATATGCACTGAACATATATTGTAAACAAGGTAAACCTGTGTTGATAACCATTTTGATTTATCTGATTGATACATGCAGTAAAAGAGAAGGAAACTAAAGAACATGAAAAATCTACAATATTGAGGCTGTGCACAGCCTTTTGTTGGCTGCTTTATTTCCTTTCTCTTGCATGATAGAGGATACAGTAAGTGATGCTTTATTTCCTTTCTCTTGTTGTGAAAGGAAATTAAAATGGAGAATAACGTGTATGAAAGGCAGCAGCAGATCAATCATACTAAATATTAGTAGGATATTAGTAATAATTGTTAAAATGAAACACATAGCCCCTAGTTTGACTTATTGCTCAATGATCAACTTTGTTTACCGTTGTCTAGAATGAGGAAGTGGTAAACAATGGAACCATTGAAACCAAGAAGCCGCTCAACCTAGTCTTTTAAGGTTCTTATGTATTCTCATTTAAAAAGAGATTCTATAAATATGGAAGCAATGCATGAAGACAGATGCAGCAGACATGCCAAGAATATTTTCCTACTGTTAATATTGTCTACTACATAACCCTAGAATATTGGAAGAGCATTAATTTTAAAAGAAAACACGCAGAATAGGATAAGGAATGGTGGCTGGGTGGGGAACATGTTTGGATACTGACAGTTGTCCTATGTCTGGTGTATGTTTGAGTATTGAGACATGGAACCCAAAGAAGGATCCATGGTTGCTACTATTGTTAAAGCATTTGATACAAAACTTTCACTTTTTGAAGTTTTAGTTGTCATCTACTATTTGTGGGGAAAAATTTTTTCCTCTACTTGGCTGAAAACTTTCATAGGTAGGTACTTAAGTCTTTTTAGTGGTCTTATCTTCAATTTATCAAAACAGACAATTCAATGTCCTTTGTTGCGATTGATTAGTGGGTATGTATAAAGCAAACTTAGGTTAGGACTTGAGACCCTTTTACGTCCTAATAGTTGTGAGGACTCCCCAAACGGTAACCATAAAAAGCTTCTGTATAAGGCCACGTGAATTCAATAGGAATCATGTTTACTTGTACTGTGTAAGATATGGTTAGGCCGTGGTTTTATACGAGGTTTGCATTTCAGGTAGTGTTTCTTGTGAAAGGACCAATTTACTTAGTTTGCATAACCTGCACAGAAGAGCCTTATGAATCGTTAAGGGGACAACTGGAATTCCTCTATGGTCAGGTAGCAATCTCCTTTTATATTTTATCTTCAGTTTTCTTTATATGGTACAATGCATTAGTAAGGTTTCATGATTACCAGTATCTCCCTCGTGTATTTCCTGCTGAGTATTTATTTGACTGGGGTCACTCCTGATGAATTCACATCTTCATTTATTTGTCGCGTTGTCCGCACAGATGATTCTTATCCTCACAAAGTCTTTAAATAGATGCTTCGAGAAGAATCCCAAATTTGATATGACACCTTTGCTTGGAGGAACAGATGTCGTCTTTTCCTCTCTCATTCATTCTTTCGGTTGGTAAGTTTTTATTCATCTTAACCTGTTAATATCAAGCCAAATATCTGCGTAGTGTCTCACTGGTGTTAGCATAAACTATCAGTAATCAAAAAAAATTGTGATGTCAAGAAATGCTACCTGCTTCATAATTGCCGAGACTGTATTTTGAGTTGTGGCACGAGGAGAAGTCGATAATGGAAGGCATATAAAACGTATAAAAGATTACGAGGGAAAATCATAATTAAAAAATATTGTAAGCTGTACCTACTCGTTGTTATCGACTTAATTGTTTGATTCCAAAATAACCCTGATCTCCATCGCATTCACTATATCTTATACTAGTTGAACTAATGTAATCTGCTATTTGCAACTCTTGCATTCCCTCATTTCTCAAATAATTTTGCTGGGTTGTTATTTTCTTCGTTGTACGTCCATCCCATTAAACAAACATTTTATGATGTATGATTATCACGTAGCTGACTATTTAAAATATGGACATTTTGTGTTGACTACAGGGTCCTCTTTTTAATTATAACACCTTTGTCAGTTTTATGATAGCCAAATTACTAGAAACATCTTTTTTATTCGAATGTCAACTGTTTGATTATTAATCGAATAGGCATGATGCAATTATATCATATGATTGCTTCCGAGTCCTTTATAGTTTTTGCTGTCTGTCTATATATAGTTTTTGTCTGTTAAGTGTCAGTTGTGTGAATATGAAATAAATAGTAATTATCTCTCATATGGATTACAACTAAGACCCGTTTTTCTAATTATGATTGTAGGAATCCAGCTACTTTTCTCCATGCATACACATGCCTTCCCCTTGCTTATACAACAAGGCAGACTGCAGGTGCCATCTTGCAAGACATAACTGATTCAGGGATCCTATTTGCAATATTAATGTGCAGACACAAGGTCAACTTTTACATATACAGTTCTCCTTAAATTTCTTGGTTATTTGCAACTTCTAGTCAAAATCATCACATCACAAGTTCAAATGCAGGTTATCAGTCTTTGTGGTGCACAAAAGGCTTCTCTCCATCCTGATGATATGCTGTTACTCTCCAATTTTGTTATGTCTTCTGAATCATTTAGGCAAGTTCATCAAGTTGTTAAATACTCCTTATCGTCTTTCCTTCATCATACTAGCTCAGATATATGTGCTCGCGTGCTAGTTTCTGAGTGTTGCTGGATGTTCTTAAGTGCTTGGATATAAATTCTCCTGAAATTATATTTTCCATTTGTAACGGTTTACCAAGAAATATTTTGTCATATTTAACAAGGTTAAGCAACTTAGTAATCTATTGCAAACATCTTTCTGAACTGGCAAAAGTTAAGTTCAAAAAAACGTGACAGTCCCCTAAGTTATTTCATGCCATTTTTTAAAAGTGGCTACTAACATTAATAATGTTGCTAGATATTATTCTACTCAACAATTACTCTTGTAAATTTAAAATGAAATCATGAGCAACCAATGAAAGGAAATATGTTGTTGATCGCATGCCAAAAATTCCATGTGCGAGCATTAATTGAGTGAAAGGAGAGTTTGAAGAACCATCAACATTGCCTTTCGTTTCTACTTTTAAAGATTGAAGACATAAGATTAGAAAGGGAGGGGGAATTGCCAAGATGATCTTCAAACACCACATTCAAGAATGTCAGTGCCTAACTGTTGAAGGAGTGATGGGACCTTGAGTTCTAGCAAGTAATGACATTCCCATGTCCCTTAATTTAGTAATAATCAAAACAGTGTGGGTAAAAAGGTTTCCTACATCAATAACTTATTAACATTTTGTATTATTTCCAGTCAACATTATTGTTATATATATGCAAGCTTAGTGATGCAGGACAAATTAAAAAAATAGAAAGAAGAAGCAAGAAAGAGGGGAGAATCGGAGAGAATGAGGGGAGAAACCGGAGAAGAAGCAGAAATTCATGGGGAGAGGGGAAGGGAGAGGAAGGAAAAGTCATAGGCAACAAACCACCAAAATATTTTTCAATTCATCAATACTTATGAAATTACATCGCAATTAGGTTTAAATAGTAAAGACTAAAACTCTAAATAGAATGGACTTGGACCAACACAAGTCCAATTACATAAATAAAATTTAAAACATAAATAAAGTCCAACTAAAAATAAATAAAAAAGTAGATGTCCTCATCACTTAGTGTCATTGTTTTAGGCTCCTGCATCCTATATCAAAATGATCTTGTTTGTATCATCAAATTTCATCATTTTTTGCACCATATCTGTTGTATATATCACCATGTACCTCATGATGTTGATGAGTAGACCATGAATTTTGAATAATGTGGAGATGGATTAGGTCTAAACTATTGCTATCTAATTATGCTGGCATCTTCTCTAACACAATACTTTTTCTGATTACTTTCTGCCTTCAACTTGCAGTTCAAGCACAAGGAAATTTGTGTACATTTTTTAAATCTAAAAACTTCTCTTCATCTTTGAGTGCATAAATCTAGATCAGAATGTTCCTCTGTACTTGGATACCCAAACAACAGTTCCATATCATTTTGAATAGGTAATGAGATCAAATTAGAAATGTAAGACAAAATCTCTTTTGGATCAAACTCAGTCATGGCCTAATGTTTTTATTGGGTTGTTAAGAGTTCTTTTCTGTGCTTAAGATGGTATTTTAGTTTTATCTCGACTTCACTTGCTACTTAATTACCGTAAGTCACATATCCCGCAAACTCAATATGTTTGAGACAACCATATAACCTTAGTTTGAGCTAGAAAACTACGAATTACCATCTTTTTTATTAGGAGAAAGTTATTCATTGCATCTAGAAGATACATCTCTCTCTCTCTCTCTCTCTCTCTCTCTCTCTCTCTCTCTCTCTCACATGTGCATGCATGGTCGTGGAATGAGGAAATGACACTGCAGCCCTGAATTTTTCCCAACTGGAATTGTATCTGTAGCAGATCATGTACTAATTTTGTCAGGTGCTTATTTTCATGAATTGTTTGATGTTATCTCTTATATTCTCTTATATTCTTTCTGATTTTGTGCAGGATGTCTGAATCTTTCTCACCCATTTGCCTGCCACGATATAATCCCATGGCTTTTCTATATGCTTATGTGCATTATTTTGATGTAAGTCAATCTAAATTTAGAAATTGTCTTCACTACAGATAATTTAGATTTAACTGCATGCTTAAATGAATTAAGCTGAGATCTTAAAAAATTGAACATCTTGCCCTTGAAGGTGTAGAACAGATATGAAGGACTCATTTTGCAAGTGATTTACTAGTGAAGCTTCAAAATTATGGATTTCTTTTCTCTATCTATATCTTAAAGGAGGAACAGTGTCTTTAGCGCATTCATATATTTGAAAGAAGTAAGGAATTTAATCAAAATGGTTGATGAAAGACTCATGCTCAAGATACATTATATTGATTTAGCATTGGTTTTTCTAGTCCAGGAGTATCCCGACTCAGCTGAATTATTTACCTTATCAGTTAAACTGTATTAATTGCTTTATGAGTTTATTGATTAACACTCTTGCCCATAAAGGAGTAGGGTAATCTGGAAGTGTACTACATGGCTATGATTTATGTAATTCAGAGCCGCATACCTAGTGGGCCATTGATGTAAACTTTGAAATTGAAAAAGAAGAGCAATTGATTTTAATTCCATGATTTACATTAATCGTGTCTATCTTATCAAAAAAAAAAAAAAAATTAATCATGTCTATCTTTTAAAAATGACCAAAAAGTGCGTTGGATGACAGGTCGATACCTATTTGATATTGCTTACTACAAGTTCAGATGCCTTTTATCATTTGAAAGACTGCAGGTAGATTCTATGTAATAAATGCTTTCAGAAACTTACACGTGATCATATGGACGTCAAGTTTTTCAATAATTTTCCATCTTTTTCGGTTCATCCCACTCATTGCTAAATAGGAAAAATCTTGGTGCATCTTGTAGGATTCGTATTGAAGATGTACTTCTGAAATCAAATGCTCT